GAGAAGAAAACAAAACAAAACGAACAAAAGCCCCCAAACCAACCAATCGACCAAACGACCAATCGGCCAACCAATCAACCAAACTTTCAGAATGCCTGTATCATTTTGGAAAGGCAGCTAGAAATGTTCATTTGTATTATTTAAAAATACAGTCAATAGTTTAGAAATAATAAAAAGTAAAAAGAACACAACAGATTTATTCTATAAACACTGTTTTAAGTATTTTGAATATTTAGCTTTAATACGTATCAACGTATTTTATATGTATCTATGTATTTTCTTTTTAGGATAAGGCATCATCCTAAGATTTGCATCTTAGCCATTATTCAGGTCACACATTCCATTCTCTGCCAACACAAACTGCTCACTGCTATTCAGCTATCCTCACAACAGAGATTTGACATTTTCACTTTGAAAAGGGTGCTTTCTTAAGGCTGGAAAACACATTTCAATACCTTTATCTGACTTAAATAATTTGTGGAAAAGGTATTCCTTACATCTTTCATAAAGCTATACAGAATTTATAAAAGCCTTGGCTCTAGAAACCAGATATAAATTGTCAACTTTCCAGTGTTCTACACACTTAAGATACCAACAGCATCTTTACAAAACTCTCCACTGTTCTTCTAGGAGATTGTTACAAACCATGGTAAACTGTGTATGAGCAATACCTTGACAGAGCTCTTGGATGTGTTCTTTGCCTCTCCATGCTCAGATTTATCATTCACTGATACCTTCTGCATTGTATCAGTTATTATTTGCCCTTCTGCTATTTTCATCATTCCATCTGAACTGTCAACAGAAGGGGATTGCCTACCATTGTCCTCCAGTTTCAACTCACTGGTGCTGGCAGTCTTCTTGTGATCTTGATCTAAAGAAGGAAAAAAGATTGAGAGGACACATTAACAAGAACTTCATTGTTTTTGAGTATTGTTTTTTCTGAATAAAATGTATTTCTAGAAAAACCACCCATTTGTGAAAGTTGTTATTAAATTTCATATAATGTATTTTCTGTATGCCTCCTTCTAAGAACTAAGAACTGATAAGAAGAGTATTCATCTGTATTTTCATGTAAAACTGGAGTAGCAACTGAAGTTTGAACTAATGTTAGAGAATGCGAGAGCAAAACAAAGGCAAAGTTTTCCATCTGTCTTATGTGGCTCTAGTGCCAAAAGCAAAACCAAAAGCAAGAGTCACTGCAGTCACAGCAAGAGCTCTTCTGACATCCAGCAAACTTCTAATGAAGTATACCAGTTAACACTCTGGGTAGCAAATGCTGTTTTCATTGTGTAGGCGTGGGACACACGAGTGAATAACTAAAAATTCTGCAGTGGGGATTTAAAGAAAACATCACTAAAACAATTCAGACACAAGTCAAAAATGCTCCAGTAAAACCAAATTAGAAGTCTTACACAAATTTCCAATAGAATTCTTCAGAAAAACAGAATTTTTGGATGATAAATTAACTTCCAATCACCTGAAGAAAGGAACATTAATGCCCACAATCTAAGAAATTTAACCTAAATTTACAGTGATGAAGGTAAATTCAAGGTGACAAACGTATGGAATTCTTTGAATTTTAACCAATATTGCAGTGTCTCACTGCACTACTTTGATTCACATGAAGAAAAGCAGTTCAACCTCTTTTCTGCCAGTCTAAAACTACACAGGCACACCAGCCAGGAAAGAGATGTGTCTGCACATTCAAATACCTAGCATTTTGGTGCCATCATGTGGAAAAATGAAGCTGCTGCCTTTAATCATGCTCTACCAATTGCAAAGTTGCAATCTTCTCTTACAGGTAATGAATGAACAGTCATAAACTTAACATCAAACAGGACAAATTCCTCTCGTATTAGGGATTAGATAAAAAATATGAAGTCTTTTGGCACATACAGTCAATTAGCAGAATTCCAAAACCTGCTTTGTATATTAAAAATAAATTAGCTATTCCTGTAATGAAATATTCAAGTTTGGGGGGGTTTATGTGTTTGACTATACATCCAAAGTGTGTCAGTATCTTCAAAGTAAAAGATCATCTGAAGTTTTAACTTTGAAATAATGAGACATCTACCATTCATAAATGTTTTGGGTACAGCTCATTTTCGGATGTTCTGTTACATTACAGCTTCACCTGATCATGGAAAAGGAGTTTTGTGACCTTTCCATTAAAGGGTACGTGGGTGCTGTGGATGCTGTGTGAATACAGCTTTCTGTGCCATGCACACACTCAGGAGGCATCTTGGCAGCCCCCTCACCCCTTCCATGTACATGCACTGGAGAGCTGGACTTCAGGGACCTAAACGGCTGGTTTTCATCTTCTGAAAGGAAAAGGCAAACAAGAACCTCCTGCTCTTGGCCCACACTGGTTCAGTTTACCCCCTGCTATACAGAAGTTGTATATTTCTACAAGCTTTGGCTTTGCAAGGCAAAGCAGATGATTGCTAACACAGAAAATAACCCAAATTAAAACATTTTAAAATACTGTAACATGGCTAAGCAACAACAACATTAAAATATTTTCTTTTCACCTGATGCTGAACCATTTCCTTTTTTGTGCATCCGAGGCTTTGCTTTTAGTTGGTTTTCCTCTTGATTTCTCTTTTTATGTAGCTCATTAATAGGCAAGTCATTACTTTCACTATTATCATGCAGTACTTCATTATTTTTTCTGTCATTATCCTCATTTTGATCTTCCACACATCCTTCTTCATCATGTTTTCTGTCATTCTGTATGCTTTCACCTTCTAAAACCATTATCTGCTGAAGCCTCTTTTCATGAAAGGATAAATTCAAGTCATCAGCAGCTTCATTTTCCAGATCTACCATGTTTTGTGAAGCATCATCATTCAAGAGAGGACTCCCAGCAAGAGATCTCTCAGTGCTTGCAGAACCTGAATTACTTTCAGCAACTTCTTTCCCAACATCTGCAAAGAGTACATTACCAACTTGCATTTGATACAAGTGGAAGAAAAATAAACCACAGAACCTGTATCTTCTACAACTTAACACTATTTTTCATGTAACACCCTCCAGACTTTATTTACTGAGCATTTCACTTTCTGTGCAAAGCCACCAAACTACAGCCTTATTGTACTTCCTTTCCTGTCATCTATTTTCATGGACCCAATCCAAAGAAAAAAATTTACTCACTAATTCTTTTCACCCAGACAATTTAAAGCCCTTCTAAAAAGCTGTGTCAATGCCATAGGAAGTAGAAGCACGTCATCAACCACAAAGCCAGGCATGTTTAGTATTAAAAGACATCCTCCCTTCCCATCTCTTCACTTCTGCCCCATTTAAAGTCCACTAGAAGATACTCAAAGGAGTGATCTACAATGCTAAGGTTCACATGTTTAACAAAAATATTTATCTTCCTCTAGTCTGTTATTGCTAACTTACCTAATTTCAGAGTTCAAATGCTTGAGGAAGGTGACAAAAGAATGTCATAATAGTAGACTAACGCATTTAATGCTGGAGAGCTTCTTTTCCTAAATTTTGTCAGCAAAAGGAAATCAAAGAATCCCTCCAACTGTTATCAGATGTTTTAGATGTGAATAAAAAACAGGTAAAGGAGATCCTTTTAAAAATACAAGATTGTATTTAACATATTTAACATATTTAACTATTTTTCTTAAAATTTAGTGTCATGCCAGTAGGAAGAAAAGTCATTTGGCCAATGCTTGTAATTTGGCCAAACAAAAATCTAATGCATCCTGCTCCAAAAAAAACCCAGCCAGATCAAACCTATTCCTGGCTTATGTACATTGCCAGGCAAGCGTGCTCTGCAGTGTGTCCTGCAGCCCTTATCACTGATTGTCCAGACTGGGAAACCAGTACAAAAGAAGCATTGCCTTTCTCTCTGCCCATGTCTACTTTCATTTACAGTACTGTGCACTACTGTCTCATCCAGGTGTCAAGTAAACAAGATGGCTAAGGAGGGTAACTGGGCACCGCAATGACAGGAACCAGTACAGACAGCATGTGGTCTAGCAGGCACCTCCACTGATTTCACTGGGGATTTTGATGCTAACTTGGTGGAGGAGGACTCTGTGATTTAGAAGCTGTTAAAATGTGAAATCTTGGAACACTAAATTGTATTGACACATAAAGATTCTCTAGGATCTAGTAAAGGGTTAAGAAAGGGAAGAAAAAAAGGAAAAATATTTTGTTTTACCATTTAACATGCCATCTTCATCACTTTCAAAATCGTCGGAATATTCAACTTTTTCCTTTCTTGTTGCATAATCAGAAATTGCTTCCTGTAGCTCATCCTGAAATGGCTTCAAAAGTAACTTTTACAAAAAAGGCAGGATTCACTTGTTCAAGTTCAGCAGTAATTCTCCCCTCCCACACATACATAAGTAAAACTGAGCAACAGAGGTAAGCCCATTTAATTGACAATTATTCTGAAGCATGCTGCATCCATTCTATCTCCATTCCCCTAACATATATACATCAAAAAGTCCACAAACCTCCATGCATTTATTTATATTCTTCATAAGAAATGTATTTAACAAACCACTAATGATGTATCAATGTGACACTTCTCTTTTGTATGTTCTGATCGGCAAGAGCACAAGAGGAGGGTTTGTGAGAGCAGGTGAGTACGGACAAGCTCCTCTCTGCCGCAGGACAGGAGCCTGAAGCAGGTGGCAGGTCCAAACCAATGGAAGAACACATATTTTGGACACTCTGCTGCAGGACATCACGGACACAACACATTTACATGATTCTGACTGGCCATTAATTATAGATTGTAAACACATAGAGAAATGCACCAGTATCTCCAGATTCCAGACCTGACCCACAAACCACGAGGAGCAGTGGTTCCTCACGGGCCTTGGGCTCCTCCCGAGGCACCTGCTGGTGGCCAGGCTGCTCCTTCAGCCCGGCTGTCAGGAACGGGCCAGCCGGGCTGCTCCCGGCCTGTGCACGGCGAGCAGCTCCTGCCGTCCTCACCGAGGGCAGCCTGCTTGCCCGCTTTCATTTCGAAAGCAGCGCGGATTTCTGTGGGTGTGCTGCCTCTAACAGCGAATTAACGTATTCCCAAAGGCAGAGATCTGCTCGCAGGCCCCGTTCCCCAGCGTTGGCCGTA